CGCAAATTTTTGCTTGAAAAAGTGTCGATTGAAAAACTTCTACGTCGCATTGAGTTTAGAAGGTTTCTTCTAAGTTCAAATATGGGGTCAAAATGCAATCAAAATTGTGACCGAATGACTGATCTTGTCATCTTCTATTATTGCAAAATTCATGTTCTAAATATGTTGTTATTCATCAGTTACGTCTTCGCGATTATTCTTCAACAACGTTTATATCACACGTGAACTCTTCGAAACGGAATAAACACTAAAGTTGTTTCATTAATTAAAGCGTTTCAATAAGAAATTGATTAAATTGAATTTCAATATTTGGCGCAACAATGCGCAATCATTAACAACCTTATATGTAGGACGGTACAGATATATACCCGTGTTTTTATCTAGCAAGAAACCTAGACCTGCAATAGTCGTGTCTTCCGGCTTTCTTTCTTTCTATTCATTTGTTCATCCATCTATCTATTCATCTGAATATTTTTCGGCTATTGATAGTTTTAAAATCTTAAAAGCATAGAAGAAGGTAGGAGAGAGATAGAGATAGATATATAGATAGATAGCTAGATAGCTAGATAGATAGATAGACAGAGAGAGAATCAGGTAGATAGTGAGGTAGAGAAGTAGGGACAGAGAGGAGGAGGAGGAGGAGAGAGAAAGCGGGAGAGAGAGAGCGCGAGAGAGCGAGAAGTAGAGAATTGTTCATTTTGCTTTTTGATCTTTTTCCATTTCCTTCTGCGATGAATCCAAATGGATGACTGCAAAGTTTCTCACGTGCCAGGAATTCGTATATACTACTATAACCTAACTATAACCTAAGTCTATCTGCAATTTCATTTAAAAAAGCTAAGTCGTTTTATCTCCAGCAGATATCTATTTCTAGTAGTTATTACATAAATTCTCTTTAAAAATAATTTCGCATTTCATTTCAAATATAGGGTTTCTAAAACTCACCTTACACACACATATGTTAGCGCATAATTTTACGGTACGTAAATAGCAAGAATTCTAAAATATAAATTTCGAAAAAATTTGTAGGCTTTTCTATATAAGATTTCGGGATCTTTTCTTATATGTTCTTTTCTTCTCTTTTTTTTTTTGATTACAATCGACTATAAAATCAAAGAATTCATTAAATGTTTTTATTGTCACGAAAGTGATCAAGCGTTAAACACCACATAAATTTATAATGGCTTCGGGTTGACTTTCATTCTTTTTATTTATGTATTTTTTTTTTTTTTTTTTTTTTAAATTTTTATTGTATACAGACAGGCATTCGTTGTTCATTTTTAATATTTTTGGGGCTCTTGTCTTCGACAACATTCAACGCATGGTTTATTTAATCGCATTTCAGTCAAGCCTTCAGTGAGAATAAAGTGCAACAGAATTTTCTAAAATTGCAGATTTTTATGGGCGTAAAGATTTTGTTAAATCTTCACAACTGAAATGCTGACAACGCGAATCTGTTCTACTATCATTATTCTTTCGTTTAGGGTTCCATTTTTTCTCTCATTTTTTGCGTTCTTTCAGCTTGGGTGTCATCTTTCGCGCAGACTGTTTCAATTTAACATAGCTTGCGTTGTTATTAGGTTTTTTCGTTTTTTGTTTTTTTTTTTTTGGAGGATGTTGTTGTTATTTGTGTCAAGTGCGGTTTTTTAATTTTCAGCATAATATTATACTTTCGGCTTAATATTTAGCTTTATGTTTTTTTTTTTTTCTTCTTTCTTGGTTTCAAGTTTTTATTCTTTAGATTTGTTCTCCTCTTTTTGTTTTGGCATTTTCATTTTTTGCAATTCCTTTTTTGCTTAATATACGACTGTCGCTTATGCTTCATTAATATTTGCGAGGACCCCAGACTGTTCATTTTACGCATTCATTTTTATATCCATGACTGTTGAATAAGGATAAACTGTTTTCGTCATGCAGTTCGTAACAACAGCAAAAAAATCGAAAAAAAAGGAAAAAAAAACGCTTCAATAAGCAATCAATTGTTGCAACTGGCAGTCCCGTATCTCTATCTTACACCTTAAAGAATGGAAAATCAACCTTGAGTTGCTCGAGCAAGCCTTTTTTTGCGATCGTTAAGCTTAATACATCTATATTCAGCGAGGACTCGTTGTGTTGGGACCTTCACATGCCCAATCAAACCTTCGAACCCCAACAACAATATTAAACTCTTTAGTATGAATGATTTATTAAAAAAATTTCCTAAATTCAATAATTCTCTAACAAACATATGCTCAACAATAAAATTAATCCGCGCTAGCTACTACGAAGTGTGTTGCGGATAAGATGAAATAAATGTAAGCAAAGACACTTTTCAAAAGGTCAAGTCGTAAAGGCGTAATGGTCAATACGATCGAAAGGTTTTCACTTGCATTGTTGGTAGGATAGGACGGATCAAAATTATATAATGTTCGCCTATTTCATCATATGTTCTTTAAAAATGTGAATATCTAGAGGAAAAGATTGCATTTCTTTTTGCGTTGGGAAACCTAATTTTCGGAAAGGCGTCTTAAGCTCGGCTTCGTTCAGAAGAAAAAGCTTCGATAATCCAAATTTGTCGTAGTGTTTTTATTCCGTTCGTCTGCGCGTTTGTCCATCTGTTTGTGTGCGCAACTGTGTGTAGTATTTGTGACAAACATTCTCCCGTTAGCGAATATGAAGATACCGCTCACAAAATTTCAGAAGAATTCGGAAGTGACTTAAACTTTTTCGGAGGCACGTTTAAAATGCCCCCACGCCTATGTGACAATAACTTTTACAAAATCAGCCAGCTGTGCCCATTCCATGAAAACTTAGTTCTTTTACCTTTTTTTGTCCTTTTTAGGATAACGGTGAGGGGTATCAAAGGTTCTGTCACGACCGAAGCTTATTTTCGTAATTGTTATTATTGTGAGCGCCCATTACATCACTACTTTGACAAACAACAATTTAACGACACCACAAGTTCATATTACCCCGAAGACTTATGGATCTGTTCATAGTGTGGCCATATATGTGGAGTTTATTGAGTGATGTGATATGAGTCCTCGTTTTTATTAAAGAAACTTTTTATGGGAAGCGATCAAAAAAATGATCCCAAATCACCCAAAGCTTTCACATTCATGTACGTTATTAAAATATTGTCTCTCTCTGGTTCTTGTCGAGAAGCATTAAAAATGGGAATGGGAAGCAAAGTTCTCGGTGAACACGTTAATAAGAAATCGGGATTCAAGGTTCGGATTCATAGTTCATGTGCAGTCGTGAGAATTACAGCGAATGTCCGATATTGTTGTCAGTTTGGGCTTCGTCGTCGTTTGTACAGCATCAACCAATTTTCGACCGCGATATGTTTTGCACATTATTATCGGACGTGTGATCCGTTGTCTTTGTTTTTTACCTATCTTCGAAATCGCAATCTTTCACTTATATAACTTAAGGTCCTTTTTGTATCCAATCAGATGGGCAGATGGTGCTGGTCTTTTTCAGTATTTTGGCGAATTTCGTTGGCGTTATCGACAAGTGATCGAGCAGTGGAGCGGGGCGTCTTTATATCGAAATTTTCAGAATGAAATTGAGGGAATTATTTGAATGCTGCTTTCAATGCAGCCACGAATATATTCGCAGTGCAGTCCGAAACGTCATCGCTTCCGTAAAATGTGTACGAAGTTATGATAATTTTTGACGGAATCAAAAAGTATTACAATGTTTTCGTTCTTTTTAATTGCCTGCGAACTAATACCCTTCACATGCATTACTGTATGCATTAGAATTATGCGACTCTAAAGCAATCTGTTGAAGAAGAACGCCACGACATTTTTCCTAAAACTACCACATTACTACAACAGGATATATAAATATATATACACATCTATAATGTGATCTCTCATTGCTAGATGGCACGAGGTAGTGGTAGCTTATGCGAAAATCGTAATGTATGGCATCATTTCGACTTTCGGATGACTACAACAAATTTTCGTACTCAAGATTGAAACTAATCCGGAACGATCCCAAGCGTTTCATTATATTGATCTAGAAATGACTTCAATCGGCCGTCACACAGGGTGACGCCGTACTTGGCAGTTGTCCTAAGGCGAATACCGTTTCCTTATCGTCGTGCATTTTTTTTATTTTTTAAATTTCCTTAAATACTCTAAGTCTGCCACGACAATGTTAGTAAACGTTAGCAGAAAGATATAAATAATCGCTTTAGATTTAAATGCGGATAAAAATGTCTGTTTAATTTTAAAGTTATTTTCATCGAGTCATAAAAAAGAAAATTTAGAGCAAAAACATGTGCTACTTGCATATATTTCTTTGGCAAGATTCCAAATGAAATTCAATAAAAACGAGAATAAATGAGTAAAAAATAAAAAATTGTATAATCATAAAAAAATATTTTATATTCTTTTTTTTTTTTTTTTTGGAGAATGTTATTAACAGAATAAATTACTAATAAGTTAGGGGGAAAAATTAAAAATATTAAAAAGCAACTACTACGAGCCAGAACGAAATAAAAAAAAAAAAAAAAACAAGAAAAATGATATGAAAAAATTGAAGGATTTGGGTAACAAGGTACATAAAAGCTAATATATCTACAAAATTGTGAGAAGAAGAAGAAGAAGAAAAAAAATAAATAAAGAGAAAACAACGAGGATAACATTATTATGAATTAATAGCCATGCCTTGAATGGTAATTATGTGCTTTTTGTACATCGATATATATATATATATATATATATATATATATATATACAAATATATTTACATAGGTATGCATCGGTTAACAAGAACGAAAGCGATATTCATTTACAATCAATTATTGGTGTCTGATGCAAAAATGTTTTGTGAGTTAAATATTAAATAAGAAAACGAAAATAAAATGAACAAAAAAAAAAAAAAAAATTATTTAGAGTGAAGAAAAAAAAGTTTTGTGAATTTTTATTAAACTGAAAATAAATCAAACAAATTGATCGTTGGGTTAATTATGTTTGTATGAAAACAAATAAAGCACCCATACCACTTACTAGGTTCATAGACTCCTTCAGGCGCTACAGTTTAGCAAGTAAAATATTTATTTGGGTTTTTTTTTTTTTTTTTTTTTTTTTTTTTTTTTAAATTATTTTTTTATGGTTGCGTAATGATTGTTTATTTAGTAAAAGTTTAATTGTTTTTTTTATTTTTTTTTTTATTATATTATTTTTGTGAAGAGGTCCATTATACACAGAGGAGAATAGAGATCGGTATACCGTGAGTTTTGTTTTTTAAGCGTTGATTTTTGTTTTTGTTTTTTTTTAATTATTTCAAATTTAGAAAAGAAAAAAAAAAAGCAAAAGAAAAAATGAAGAGAAAAAGATAATGAAATTAAACATGTCAGAATATATAATATAAGGAATTACTTATTGCATTTATACATAAATACGTAACAAAAATGTAACGTGTTTATCTCTCCTATACCTCTTATAACCTCTGGTAATAACTAATTATTCATGGATCAACGTTATATTATCAAATATCGGTAGTGATTACTCGATCATTTTGTAAGGCGAAACTGCCACGGACCTATTGGCTTAACTTATATAAATTTTTTTCGTATACTTTGTCGAAAACTGATTCGATTTTTACGCCTATAACTAAAATATTATTATTAAACTGAAGTCGGACAAAGATCGGTAGAAACTTTAGGTGTCAAGTAATTGACGATATTGCGCACATATGTTTAATATCGATTGCGGCCATCCGCAGAAATATTCCGCACGGAATTATGAATTGATTGACATATTCAGGTATTTTAGCAAAAACTTAATACCGATTAAAAGTCAAATAGACGCACTATAGCAAAAAAATTTGCCTATAATAACGAGTAATGTATGTTAAAAACTAAGCAAGAGCACTATAGCGCGCCATATTTGTGTTCGTTTGCGAAGTGGTCGAAAAAGTTGTTCGATCTGAACAATTCGCCCAAAACACGTTAGTGTATCAAATTTTTTTTTTCAAGAAATTTGATCGACAGATATGTCAGAGTAACAGTTATTGGAACTGTTAGGCTTTGCAAAGAGCGACAAAAACTTCTTCCCTATACATATAGGCAGAGTTTCATAGTTAATGATAAAGAGCAGGATTATTATGATTAGGTGAAAAACGAATTTGTACCGAAAGTATCAGAAAATTCACGGTTTCATTGCTAAATCGTATCACGGGCCAAATGTTTTTATTTTATTCTTTTTGTCCAAACGCAAATGTTTGGAATTAAAAATAAAAAAGCATTTTGCCGGGCAAGCGTTAAGCAGGGCACACTTTTCACGCTATAGTGCTTTTCGAAAAAGATTTTTTTTTCAAATAAATTTCTGCTCTTTGCTAAAACTTGCTTTCCTTCTAGTTCTTCTACGCGAAATAATACATTTTTGTTTTCTTTCTTTTTTGTATTATTTACAAAATCTTTCGTTTTTTTTTTTTTTTTTAGTCACACTTGGTTTTGGTTAACAGTATACTTGTTTTTACATATAAAATATTTAAGATTTTCTAAAGCAAATAAAAATTAAATATTTTTTTTTTTCTTTTTTTTTTTTTAACTAACTACTAGTTTTGGTATTCATTTATTTATAGCTTTCAATCTTTTAATAACAGAAAACAAAAAATGATTGAGAAATAAATAAATAATTGTTTTCTAAAATCTACAAAAAATGTATACGTTTGTTAAAATTATTTATTATTTACAAAATTAATATTTTGTAATATTTCACGATTTTCTTCGATTAATTTTTGATTTAAAAGAAAAAAAACTAAAAATTATTGGTTTTCATTAGCAAATTAATTGAAAAAAAAAAAATTAAAATATTTTTATTACTTGATATGATATATATACATATATATTTATATATATTTATATATATATATATGATACCGAGAGTACACATTTCCAATTAATTTTTAAAAATTTATTTTTTGTTAGAAATCCACGTATAACATATATATATATATATAAACCATTACTATTATTACTTAGCCTTATTAATATGAACAATAAAAAAAAAGACTATCGGAAATTTAAGCTCTCGTCAAGGTCCTCACCCCAAAAAGAGTCGTAAATACATGAATGTAGCTTAAGTTTAGATTAGGCTTGACGATCGAGATTTATACGTGAGGAGGTCTTCCCCAACTCCCTTAAAAGGTCGGCCTAAATACTAGACGATAGTCACCATATTACTTGATCGTTCTTTTTTACTTTATTTCAAATCATATATAAGTCCAATGCAGTCAGGCTTTACTAGATCTAGATACTAGATCTGTAGATCAAGTCAATTACTTTTCTACTTTATTTTCTATCCGCTTTTTATTTATTAACCTAGGGGCCCAAGTAAATATCTTCTGTTAAGGCTAGAGGCGTTTCAAAGACTGGACACGTTGGGAATAATATCGGCCTGTCGCATACTTTCACGAATATTAGTAATCGCGCTGTTATTGAAGGGGCAGTTATGTGTTTATAACGGTAAGGAAGAGAAAACTATCTACGAAAGAAATTCCAGCAATAACTGCAGCGATATTGAAACTCTATGCGGCAGAGCATGTTGACAGAATGTGCAGCAACGATGGGCACACGACTCTAAAGGAAGGTGAAAACCCACAACCTCATCTCAAACGTAGAATAATGGGTGTGGAGAAAACACCGAGAAGTTAATTTCTTTCCAATTCAATTTTTTTAGTGTCCATGGAAATTATTCAGGTTATTTGCGCCGCTTCAACTTACGAGCGCATAATACATGCCACCTGTGCCCAGACACAAACGACGATGCGCAGTATATTGTTTCCGTCTGTTCGGCTTGGGCGTGCTTGAGAAATAGGTTTTTCAGATCTTTAGAATTACGTCGGGTAACTTGCTAGCGATCTTATTAATAGACACCGATAGATGGAGAAATGCGCCGAGGTTTTGCAAGACGTGCTTCGATATAAAAACCCATCAAGGCGATATCCGAACGCCTAATCTCAGGCGAACCGGGTAAGGTAGGACGATAGAGTGAGGATCAAGAATTCATAAGGATTCATCTTGACGCAATGCGAAATCGGTTTCGGGATGGATCTGACCTCAGTGTGGGGCAACTAGTTGGCAGCGCGTTGCCACTACTTCCGAAAAAAAAGAGAAAGGTAAATAGATTGATAGATAGAAAGGGAGAAGAGAGAGGGAGAAAGAGAAAGAGAAAGAGAAAGAGAGAGAGAGAGAGAGAGAGAGAGAGAGAGAGAGAGAGAGAG